AAACCCCACACCAAAAATAGTGCCGACAGTGCCTCAGTATGTCTAAACTGGTGTCCGTCGATCGATATTGACATAATACTATCAAAGTACTGAGAGTCACATTCTCTTTCCAGAACCTATGAGACTCTTCGGTCGTTGGGCACTAGCCTTTTCTCTTAGGGGTGATGCTCTCTCTCCTCCGAGCAAGCACATCTCGGATGAGATCCATCATTTGATCCTTCAAATCCTGGATTTGCTAGTTCAAAAACTCTCTGGTGCACCTCATGTTACTGATATCTCTATTATGGGGTTTTTCTTAGTGATCTCCTCCTCTTATGGTCTATAACATTATCCACACTCACCGTACTTTTTAGTATCTTGAAACACCAAATGAATAGAACATAAAGTGAGTGAGAGAGAGAGAGTAATGAATAGTAATAAGTCTTATCTTATTCATGAAATGATCTTCATATGTATATGATAGAGAGTACAATATTATGATGTTATTTTTTTCCCCTGCTTTAAAGGTCGGCTAAGCTTAATTCTTCGTATTGGCCAGATTAGCTTGGACCGCAGAGATCGACTCAATCAACTGTACTTGGTCGATATGGGTCGGCTGACTGATGTGGCCCGATTGTTGAACTTTGGCTTATGATGGAGATTCTCTGGGCATTCATGGCATGGTTGAAGATACTATGCAACCAGTTCTTCTCTTGGATTGACTTTCTTGTGACTGTTGACTTGTATACTCTTTCGTCTTTGTTTCAAACCGAGTGACTCATTCTGATGTTCTTTTGGTCGTCTTTTGTCTATTCCGTGGTTTGGTTGGCTTTGATTTTATTGAGTTGGCTCGGAAAGCTTCACCTGATCAAATAAGTGGGCCTTATAATCTTCTGTTATGGGACCTCCTTCATCATATTTTCCTTCTGGACTGCTAGATCGCGTCAAGATCGGCAATCACATTTTTATATCATATTTTAACTTGTATATAAAAATAAATATATATTAAAAAAAGATGAACGTTATAATCTTATTATTTAAAGTTAAAAGCTCGTATGTAATTTTTCTTTTTTCAGGAATTAACCATGGCAATTAATGGGGTTCAATGCGAAATATATGCTGTCATTTTCGCACTTAAGCTCTACTCAATACTATCCTACAGTATGACACCTGTGGGTCCCACTTTCTCTGCAGCATTTTTCCAACTTCCCTTTTTCGCCATTCTGAACTTTTTGTGGGTTATCAGCCTTTCATCGAAGGCAAAGAGGACAGATGCAGAGATATTGGGCGAGCAAAACCCACATTTTCGAAATTTAGCTGGAGTGTTCTATACGGGTAAGCAATCTTCTCTTTAAAGCTGAAGATTTGAATTTTATTTGTGTATTTATTTATCTTAAGTAGGATGGCTGGTTTTCGAGATTGCGTTAAATTGAAGATGGAAGTGTTTTTTCCTTGCGTTATGTTTGTTTTCGTAGCTTGGTTCTAGCGGGTAAGAGATTCTGTCCTCAAAGTGTGGTTTTGGATTAGTTTGTTTTTGTTTATTTGGTGGTTTAGGTATTGGATTCATCCTTTTTTAACTTTTTGTTTGGAATAGTTACTTGTAGTACTTGTTTATCAGTGAGTCTTCTCGCATTTATGGTTTTCCTTGCTTTGATTGTCTTTGGAATTGCTCCGCCGGTCCTGCTTGTTGTATCTCTGTTTCGTTTTTAGTTGGTTGAAATTTTGCATTGTGTTTCTGTTCAATTGCAGCCACGTATCGAAATCTCTGCACTCCACTGATTTTTTCCCCATCCTTTTACTTTATAGAGATTTTGCTTGAAATTTTTGGCAGGTTGCTCACATTAAACTCTCTTTCTTTTCCTTTTTTTCCTTAAATACGCGGCTGATCCATATTTGTTTATTCAAATAGATACTTATATCGTATCAGGTGCTAAATTTTACCTTTTATTTTGTTCCGGAGGAGCTTCAGGCGGATCTGCCAACAAAGGCAGGTCTGTTACTCTTTCAATTTGCAGCTTCTTTGATTAGCATGTGTGTGATCATTATTCAGTCAGTTTCCCATCTTTTTCATCTTATCCTTTTCGATTGAGGGTATTGTGTCCGGGGTTGTTCTTGAGTGGAATGAGTAGATTCCTTATTTTGAAATATCAAACTTCACTATTCTACCTACTTGAGCATGAATTGCCAAGTAGTCTTAGAAACCTAAATTTCAACTCATGAAATTGTTTTTCGTATTCTTTTACTTTTAGGGCTTTTTTCTTAATCTTCTTCTTTGGTTTGGTTAAGAGTACTGAATGCTGCTTGTTTGACACCAAATCTTTTGGCTGAAACTCTTCTAATATCATAACTAAAAACAGCTGTGAATTCTTAAACTGAAGTTAATAGGTGCTTGAATTTAAATCTCAAATATAGAAGTTACCTACATATAGGCTCTTCTGTCTTGGCCATCTAATTCCTTATCATTGTTTTTAGGGATTACCTTATTGTTATGAAGTTTATTTATTTTATATGATGGGTTTCCTATTTTCACTTTATATGCTATCTGGCTGAGCCATGTCCAATGACTAGGTTTAGCTTGTTTGATACTGTTGATACTTGCCAAATGCATGCATGCTGGGAAACTATGGAGCAAGCGGAAGAGCTTGGGAAAGGAAGCTCATTTCAAAAAGCGGCTATTGAGTCGTCCCATGTCAGTAATGGTTTGAATCGCACAAGAGTTCTGTTATTGGAAGAAAATTCACCCTCAAGTTTATTAGGATATGAAAATTATGATGATAACAGTGTTGAATGTGTTGACTGTTACAATGTTTCCCCTGAACCAGCTCAGTCTGAAGTAGTTGATAATGATGCTAACAACATAAAAGATGCTTACAACGGCAGTAAGCCATCATATTGTGTGAGTATTGAAGCAGATCCTCTTATTTGGTTACCACCTGAACCGGAAGATATAAGTAATGTTACTGACAGTGTTACCAATGTTGTTGATGGGGATAAAGATTATAATGATGATACCAGATGGGGTCAACTTAGTTCCTTAAGTAACCTTGATGAAGAGCAAGGAAACATAGTTAACCATAAAGACGAACATCAAAAGTTAATGATGGAAGTCATAAATGGGCAGCTCAAACTTCTTGTTAGTCGATGTCTTGCTTCGGAGGGCATAAGATTCGTTGATGATGATTCTTGTCAGAACTGGCTGAACATTGTGACTTCTTTATCCTGGGAAGCTGCATTGCTTGTTAAGCCCGATGATGGTGAAGGTAGAGCTATGGACCCTTGTTCTTATGTAAAGGTGAAATGTATTGCATCAGGTTCTCGAAGCCAAAGGTAATATTTGGATGTTTTAATTAGATCTGAGAACCAGTTGAATTGATGTCATTTTATGTGAAAAATGTTTCTGCTTCCTTTGGAGTCAATAATCAATACTCATCCTAGGTGGCAAGCATGCATTCTTTGTTCTTTTTTTTTCCATGCATTTTAAGGAAAAGAATGAACGTTCTTATAATGGTTGTTAACATAGTATTAGACTTAGTAGGTTATACATATTTTATTCAAGTATGTGATACTTAATGTCCTATTGTAGAAACTAACTTTAATTACAGTCAAGTGATAAAGGGCCTTGTTTTCAAGAAGAGCGCTGCACACAAGCACATGCCTACTAGTTTCAAAAATGCCAGGCTCCTATTGCTCAAGGGATTTCTGGGCAATTCAGCAAATGGATTGTCATCATTTGAATCAATGGGGAAGGTAAGTCAATCAGAAAATTAGTTGTGCTTATTTGAATGACGGTGATGTATCTTTTCTACTAATTATTTTTTCTGAGTCAGGAAAAGGACCATTTGAAGTTCACCATTGACATGATCGAGAATTTCCATCCAAATGTGATTTTGGTTGAGAAAACTGTTTCTCGTGATGTACAAGAGGCTGTTTTTTCAATGGGAATTACCCTGGTATTTGATATGAAGCTCCCACGTTTGGAGAGAATTGCTCTTTGTACCGGCTCTCAGATTTTTTCACTTCACGAGATGACAGTGAGACAAAACCTAATGCATTGTGATTCTTTCCACTTTGAAAAGCTTGTAGACGAACACAATTCCATTGGAGATGCTGGTAAAAAGCTGGCCAAAACTTTAATGTTTTTAGAGGGTTTTCCTAGACCTTTAGGTTGCACGGTGAGATTTTTCTTTCATTCCCCACCTTTTGCAGCATGAATGTTTCGTCGGTTTCAGCCCCTCAATTCTTTAGATACATGTAGTATTTAGTGACTACTTTGGACATCATGCATATTTTATTTCAAGTTTTTGTTTTTGTTAATGTCTTTCGTTACTTATGCATGCTGACGGACACTATTAATTTTTGAATTCCTGGAAGCTTTGTCAATAAATCTTTTAAATTCTTGACATGTGACTAAAGGTGGTAAAAAAAAGTTTTTCAAGGGTTCTACAAAGATGAGGCCTTTCTGTTATTTTCCTATGACTGTATTTAGATGCTTATATCAATTCGATAAATTCCTGTTTTTCTCACAATTGGCTCGTTGTTGACTTTCTTGCTTAAACAATAAAATTTTGACTCCATAGTTAGTGCATTTACCACAATATCCATCTATCAAACGAACCTTAAATCAATACTCTGCCCATGTTGGTGTAATTGGAACAATTTCTTCTGCCTTTTGCTTTACATGTGATGAGTTGTTTCAATTTATTTTATCTTTTATTATTGCGAACTTTGTTTCTTTCATATTGTGTATTTACAAGATCCAATTACTTATTCTTTGTGCCTTGAAATCTGAAAATATATGATTACTTTTTCAGATATATAGCACACAGTCCTTCACTGGTTTATAGCCAGTTTAATAAGATTGAAATAACATGATAAGTCAGCATAATTAGACCTAATACTGTAACTGACTTGAACATTGCCAGAGTTAGATTCACTTCAAGGTTTTGCTAGATTGGTTTGTTAATGTTTAATACATGTAAAAAATACTTCTAGAGTTTTCCATTAAGCAAATGTCTTGAGCCGGCTCAATCCTGTCAGAGGTATGATATAATTTACCTACTAACTGCATAACTTTGTTTTGCAGATTACCTATGTGAAAAGTTGGCCAATATTATTATTCTTACTGTTGTTTTGATTAGTAAATGATTTTATATTTTGATGACCTTTTACATTTTTTGTAAATTTAAATGAACTTTATGTAACTGGCAAGATCTTATGGCAGATATTGCTGAAAGGTGCAAATAGTGATGAGCTGAAGAAGATCAAACATGCTTTGCAATATACGGTCTTTGCTGCATATCATTTAAAAATTGAAACTTCTTTTTTTGCTGATCAGAAGGCATTTTTCTCTTCCATGTCTTGCTCAAGGGAGGACAAAGTTATTTCTGTAGATCAAATGGTGACAACAGTTAACTCTATTGATTCTCTGAATTCAAATTTGATGGATCATAAAGATTCTTTGGCCTGTGCTGCTCGTGTAAATGTTGTAGATATTCCCATTTTTAATGTTTCGATGATGAAATCTTTCAACGAAGAGCAGTCTAATTCCAACGAGTGTGCTGAAGGATCATTGATGTTGCTTGGGTCCAACTTTGAATCTTCTCGTGATAATATCATGCCTAGAACTGACAATGGTGATATCCTTCTTGGAGAAAGCCTCCCAGCTTTAACATTAGAGTCCATTTCAGCGTATGTTGAACTGAAAGAGACTGAACATGACAATGATAGTAGGGCTGTGTTTTCTCCATTGGTGGAAACCCTTGACTATGAAAATTTTTTTAGCAAAGATCTTCATGAAAAACTAGGTTTTGATTTCCACATCGGTGGAGAGGCTGGCCTTGTCTCAGATCTCACGCAAATTACTGAAATTCAGATTGATGAAAATACTGAAGTAAAATTAAAGAGTAAGAATGATATTGAGTTCACATTAGATCCTGAAAGTATATTGGTACTTGCATCTAGGCAATGCATACCGAAACAGATTGCTTGTGAGGAGAGCCGTCTTACTCGTATCAAATACTATGGGAATCTTGATGTGTCTCTTGGACGATATCTGCAAGATATTTTGCTCAGCCAGGTTTATTTTTTTCTTGTTTTTATTTTTCTCATGTTTTCTTTCATTGCAGTCAGAATCTCTTACTTCAATCTTGATTTTTAGAAATATACTTGCTCCTCATGCGGTGAACGTTCAGAAGCTCACATCTATAGATTTACCCACCAGAATGGTAATCTTACTGCTACAGTCAGGCTTCTTCCAAAAGAATCGATATTGCTTGGTGAAGCGGAAGGTAAAATCTGGATGTGGACTCGGTGTTTAAAGTGCGATCATGATAGGAGAGGTCCAAAAGCTAGTCGGAGGGTTACGATGTCTTCTGTGGCCCGTGGACTTTCCTTTGGCAAGTTTTTAGATCTAAGTTTTGCTGATCACTCTGCAGCTAACCGTTTATCCAGATGTGGACATTTGTTGCATAAGGACTGCCTTCGATTTTTTGGGTATGCCTTTTTTTATTGGAAGGTTAGATTGGTGTTATTTGTTTCTAAGCTTTGGATTCCTAATCTCTTTAATGTTTCTTTTTGATCTGCAGATTGGGATCTAAAGTTGCAATGTTTCGATATTCCTCAGTAGAAATATATACTGCATGCAAGCCACAACCGTTATTAGAGTTCTATAATCAGAATGGAGAAGATTGGATTAGGAAAGAAGCAAAAGATGTATGCTTTAATCATGCTTGTATGCTAATTCTTGCCTTTTGCTTTTTCTAATTTTGACCTCAGATTTATTTTATTTAGGTTCTTGAAAAGGTTGATCTCCTTTACAGAGATGTTGCTAATGTGCTACTATATTTGAAATCTTATTTTGCAAGCTCAATACAAAAGAAGTCTATCAAATTTTCAGGGCCAATGAAACCAATTTACGAATTAGAAAATATGCTTAAAGAAGATAAAACTGCATTTGAGGTAGTTCAGGTTTCTCTTTATAGTCGTTACTCTTTTTATCTCTTAGAAACATGCTAAATTTTCTTTTCAGAAGTCACTTGAATAGAATTGCTTTTTTTAAATATGCATTAAAAACCCTATTTGATTGTTGCTATCTACTTGTTTTGTGCTATTAGGCTTCTCTGGAGGAGGCTGTTAGTCACGGTGTGCATCAAGGGAAAAATGTGAACAAGATTATTCTTGATTTAAATTGGCTAATCGAAGAGCTGATTTTATTGCTTTATGTTTGGGATTGTCGTTTACATTTCCTGGTGCAGCATCTGGGAGATTTTTCTGTTGATGTAAGAAGTGTGCATCTGCTCCAGATTCCTGTAATTGTTGGGGAATCCTATTTAGCTGATGGAAATCAACATGCTGGAAATTATGGGATTTTGGAAAATGAACTAAAAATTGAATCTGCTCGGTTTTCTGGAGAGCTTGCGCCTGTTTCTTCTGATCCCCTCCTTTTAGTTGAGGGTAACTTGCTTGGAGAAGGTTTTCCAGAATTGACTTCTGTAGAGCATTCTGAAATGGCCACTGAGCGTGATGTTATTGGTGAACTAAGCAATCTCTCTTTAAATGATTTTAAGGAAGAATCTATTCCTATATTGGATCATGTTATTGATGAGGAATCTGATCCAGATTCAATTGTACCCTTCAATTATACTGAAGAAACACGTGGACCAGAGCAGAGAACCAAGGAAAGTTGCAGCGGTAATGAAAATCCTGCTGCATTTCAGCACAATAATTCTGATGCAGAAGATAAAAAACAATGGATATGGAATCCTTTTTCTGAACTACGGAAGGCCTACAGGAAAGATCTCCATGGAGGTTCCTTACATAAATTTCAGTTTATTAGTGTCTATACTCCAGTGCATTTATCTGGAGTGCGCAAGCTCATTACTCCAAAATGTTCATTACACTTTGCAGTGGGCTTAGGTGGCAATGTTTTGTCTCTTGTTGATGATGAGATATCTAGTATTATTTCCTGTGCTTTAGCATTATACAAAGACCAGTGTGGCCTGATGGATGTCATAAATGAAAAGGAAGCAAATGAAAAGCTGGATCAAGCAACTGATGCTTCATTTAGGTCTCATAGTTCATTAGCTTTGTCTCGATCTCATTTGGAGTCTGAAGCTTCATGCTCGTCATTAGCAGATGATCATTACTTCTCAACTTCTGATGCTTCATTATTTGTTGATCAATTGATTACTTCAGATAATTTACATCCTGAAATTACTTTGGGTTATGAAAATATTTCTGGAAAAAGTAAATACTCAGTTATTTGTATATATGCAAGGGAATTTTTTTCTCTTCGAAAAAAGTGTTGTCCTTCAGAGTTGGCTTACATATCCTCCCTTAATCGTTGCAAGAAGTGGGATGCTCAGGGAGGAAAGAGCAAAGTGTTCTTTGCAAAGACTATGGATGACAGATTTATCATAAAACAAATAAAAAAAACAGAGCTTGATTCTTTTTTGAAGTTTGGACCTCAATATTTTAAATATCTATTTTTTTCTCTAGACTCAGGGAACCAAACATGCCTAGCAAAAATACTAGGAATATATCAGGTCATAAATCTTTTGTTCAGTTCTAGATACTTAATTAACAAACAGGTTTTAATTTCATTTTAATCTGAGTTGAATTTTTGAACTCCAGGTTAGGCAATTCCGAAATGGTAAAGAAGTTAAAACTGATCTCATGGTTATGGAAAATTTACTCTTTGGGAGAAATATTTCATGCAAGTATGATCTCAAAGGTGCTATTTTTTCCAGATACATTTCTAATGCAAATGATTCGGATAAAATTCTTTTAGATGGAAACTTTATTGAGGACATGCGTATGTCTCCAATATATGTTGGCAAAAAAACTAAACATTTATTGCAAAGAGCTATTTGGAATGATACCTTTTTCCTCACTGTGAGTATCCAGTTGCCTCTCTTTTGTTTAATGGCATCAAAGGCTATTTCATCTAGACTTGAGCATTATTTTTCTTGCAGTCAATTAATGTCATGGATTATTCTTTGCTTGTGGGTGTGGATAGAGAACATCGCGAGCTTGTATTTGGTATTATAGATTATGTGAGGCAGTACACCTGGGACAAACAGCTTGAAACCTGGGTAAAAGCTTCTCTAGTTGTTCCTAAGAATGCATTGCCAACTGTTATTTCCCCAAAGGAGTACAAAAAAAGATTTAGAAAGTTCATGTCTAAATATTTCCTGACCGTTCCGGATACATGGAGCTGCACACAGTATTCTGGCTCGGATAAATCTCTTCTCAGCAATGACGCTTGCTCGCCCACATTATACGATGAAAATGACCAGGATAAACCAATTGAAGCGTTTGCTTGATATCCTTGTGGGCTGATCAGCCGCATATCCTGTTACAAGATTTGCCCTGACAGTTACTGCATATAGCTCCTGCATTATATGATCCCAAATATTGCGATTTTTAAAGCAATTTTGGACTAGATGTATCTAAATGTATTTTTTTAGGTGAATTGTGGAAACGCAAAATGTTTATGCAGATGGATTTTCTTCTTTCATATCTTTTTGTCCGTATAATGTAGTCATTAAGCTATAGAATTTGCATTCTAGTTGTAATCCTATGTAGATAGCGCTTGAACAATCAAATATTTATATTCGTAAGAAAATGATATTTCTCTTTTCATTTATCCCATATGATGTATATTTGGAGAATCCATAACAACTGGGTTCTGCTTCGAAGTAGAGTGGCATCCTTTCGTTTTATTCAAAGCTCATGTCATCTAAAAGATAGCCTATTTTATACCATGCTATGCCCACACACCTATTTGTAAGCCATTACAATCTCTTTGTTTTATTTAATTTGTTTATTTATGATACCAATAAGAAATCTAATTACTTCTAATGCTGAATGGCTGATCTTTTATTTCAGGAGAAAAATGGTGGCTAAGAAGAAATCAAGAATCATTTTGTGGTTTACTTTTGAACAAGTAAAAGCCGGTAATGTTCTCCTCGTTCTATAAATAGGAACAATGCCTCTTTAATTATTTATCTAAAGTAAATATTCCAGATGTTTATTCCTTTTTCCGTATTAGTTACATTGTGTCTTTAAATTTATTTATTTGGTTAATGAATGTATGCTGAATTTGTAATAAATCCGGAATACGATTCAAGTCCACCACTTGTTCTTTCACGCGGAAATTTGGAGGAAGATTTACGCCTGATTAAGTTAAGTCAACCTAAACATTCCTAAGACCCTAAGATGCATCCTCAGACCTCAGTGTTCCTAGACTCCTCTTAGACTCACCCTATAAGTTAAAGAAGCTTTGATCAATTCAATTCTTACAAAGTAACCCAATATTAATCTGTTTGAGATCATTTGACGTCATTTGTCCAAATTGAAATGCCTCTTCTAGTATTTGGTTTATAATGGGTTCAATATGATTGTAGAACATTAAAAATCATACTTAATGTTCAGCCAAAATTATTGTCCTTAGTAAACCCAATTTGGCCGTTTGTCCTTTTGACTCAATAAGAGTTTTATTAAACTAAACGAATCCAAACAAGCCTAGCTTTGTTAATAAATGATTATAAGGATTTTCAAAGGATGATATGTTGCTTTTAGAACTCATTTGGCATTCTGACCAAATTACTCAAATGACCCATTAAGAATCATATAAATAGTATCTAAACTCCATCATATCTTGACCTATAGAATAATTAAGCTGAATGATAAAAGCTAAATGATAGTTAGCAATAGATTATAACTAGCTTGTGGAACTATAACTAGATCTATTACCTACTTAAATAATTGTTTTAGATTTCATTGCTAAGTAAAAAATGAGACATTTGTATCAACTTAACGATAATCTTCACCTCAATTTAATTTTTAGATTTATGCCTTTCAATATAAAAAAAATGATTCGAATAAATCATATACTTTTTTTTTGGTAAGGCTTTTAGAACGTATATTTACAATATTGCTAATGCATCACGAACACTTGTTTACAAAACTATGATCATATCACAAACCAAAGCATCACACTAAGTCATTGAATTATCATCACTAATGCATGTCTCAAAGCAAAGAACTTTGGTTAGCCATTACTCGTTCTAAGGCATGAATTTTTGATAGAGAACCAAGCTAGATCATCTTCAAACTATCAAGGGTCTTCTACACCAAAAGGGCAAAAAGATTGATGTAGGATTATATGTTGACTGGAACCTCTCTCCTTCAAAATTTGACATAGAGGAATTTATTACCACATAAGCTCATGGCATCTTGAATTTTTTTTTAATTACAATTTACATTAAGTGAAACTGATGGTTTTCAAATTAAATGTTTATAGGTAGTAGATACACCATTAGAATGAATCACATGAAGACTTATACTTTAGAATATAAATATATGTTATTTTTTTTAACATATAAAAGTCACACAACATATTATAGGCAAGCAAGCTAATGATAACTAATTAATTTTTAAAATAAAAAATTAGATATTTCTCTATTCAAGTTATTAAAAAATACTTTGGTCAAGATAAAAATTATTTCTATATTGTCTAAGATTACATAAATGGTTATTTTAAATTATATTAATAAAATAATTCTAATACCAAACAAGAAAATAATACAAATAAAAATGGCAAAATAAGCCACCAAAAAAGATTATGAATCTTTGAAATTTTTTTGTGGTCTTTTACAATGTATTGTGACACTTTGTAAAATGCTAGAGTTAGAACCCTTAAATAATTGTTATAAAAGATCTCAAAAAATTATTTTGAGGGTCCTAAATATTTGCAAAGCTCTACATGGTCAAAATATGAATATGTTTAATGATAGTTATTAGCCATTTGGGATCAAATAAGGAGTGGTAATAAAACAAAACTTTAATGTTGGTTGCAAGTACAATAAGTGAAACTTACTTTTTAAATTTTGAATAATTTTATAAAATTGTAGCTACCTAATATAAATGATAACAAAACACCTTACATTATTTTTCAAATACTCAGACGCCCACACAAATTTTAGCCACCCTTTACTTTCAAAATAAGACACTAAAGCTTTATTCTGCTACATAAGTTATAAGAAAAAAAAATCAATCCTAGGAAAGAAGGGCTTGCTTACTTAACATAATGAAATTTTTCAATGCTTGTCAAGATAATGAGCATAATTTCCTGACTTAAACATTCATCTGCTTGTAAGAACTCATTTTTCTCTTTTATTCGTTTACATTTTTGAATTTTATATTTTCTTCAAGTATTCTAGTGAAAATATGATACAAAAAATTCACGTGTGAAAAAGGAGACAAAGAAACATCTTAATGCGAAGAAAATATCATCCCAAAATGAAGAGCAGTGTAAAGGCTTCTTTGCATACTGAATGAGGACTATTTTTTTTTAATGTAATATGTACAAGAAATTATGTTAATAGTCGTGATTGTAGTCTATGGCCGAACCATATAGAGATTCATTGCTTGCTCATGTGGCTATTTATTTTTACATTATCAAGTTGCTATAATTTAATCTTTAATATGGATTTTACATTCTATTTAAATTTAGTCATTAATCAAGTTGCATAGATAAGCTTCAAATAAAGAGAAGTTTCAAAAGCCTATAAAGCCTCCTTATTTTAATTGATAACATATCGTTAATTATATAATATATGGCTTCACATCCAAACAAAAATTCATGAAAATTACATTTCTTGATTTCTATAACATTTATTTTGATTGCATATTGTAAAACTAAATGAAAGACATTCTAGACTTCACCTCCCCTTTTGATGCATTCCTTTTGATTTTTAAAAATAGAATGATTATGTAATTTCGATTTTGTGATTTAAGAATTTAAAATCTTGTTTTAAAGGGTTATAAAAGCCCCACTATTATCACTATTAAAAATAAGAATATTTCAAAATCTAATGACTAATGGACTTTCATAGAGATATGTTAGGATTTACTTAATTTTTATGTAGTGGATGTTTTACATTGTGCTTTAAACTATAACGATTATATGGAGATTCATTGCTTAACATTAGGAAAGTGGATTTTGGATAACCGTTTTTCATGTATAAAGGAACAAATGAGATGAAGAAAGCAAAAAATTTATTATCCTAAAGGGCCCGTAGCATGATTTTAATAATAAAACTTACACTAAGGATCAAAGGACTAATTGTTTATAATTTAAGTAATTGCAAGTAACACATATATCATCATTATGGATGATTGCTTGAAATTTATGGTTTAATATAGAAAGAAGTGTCTTTCATAAGTATAAGCCACACGATATAAACATAACAAATACTATGTATAAACAAGAAAACAAAGTTTAACTTATGTTCAGTAAAATAAATTTTAGCATTCATCAAATAAAGTAATTAAAATGCTTTTCTATTAGTGTGTGCGCATGTGTGTGTGTGCGCGCGCCGTTAGGTAGAAGGTCCCCCTAAGTAAGAAGAGAAGAGGAGAAGGTAGAGATGAAGAAACAGAGGGATCTAATGAGCTTTGCCCAATCCTAGCAAGCCAAGGGGAGTGATCCACCTCCTACAGTAGTTGCACCAAAACAGTTGAGTCCACCTCCACAAGTAGATATCTCCAATGATTCATGATGGAAAACCTGAGGGCCCAAAACACAGCAATGAGTTCAGATTCAAAAGCATCCAAAGCATAGACAGGTGCAGAGAAGAACAGTAAACAGGTCCCATGATGATTCTTGAAAGCCCCTCCAATACCAGCTCCCAACTCAGAAAAACTTCCATCTGTATTCACCTTAATGAAAGGAAGGTGAGGGGACTTCCAGCAGACTTTGATAACAACAACTAAGGGAGGACTAGCCAGACTTGGAAAGGAGCAAATATTGAGAAATCCCTTATGCTTGATTAGCTTTATGAGGAAGGATATGCAATTTCTAACCACCTTGATCACAGTTATAGGTTGATCGTCAAACTTAACCTGATTTATGGCCATCCACAGAAACCAAGCAATAATTAGAGGGAATAATATTCTCTAGCTAAGAAAAGACATAGAGGGTGAGATGAATTTATTCGACAGAAGGACCCCCCAAGGGATAGTGTCCTGGCTATAAAGCTCGGAGTAAATGGACTTAGTTAGGCTTTGAGTGCGGCTTGCCTGCCAAACAATGTTTTCAAGAAGGGATCTGTCAAAATGCACCATGGAAACCTGCTCCGCAGAAGAAGCCTCTAGTAGAGTCTGCAGGATGGGTACAGACCACCGGTCCTCAATCCAGCAATCATCCACTTTGAGGTTGGGGTTTAGATCAGTAGTTTTAGGAATCAACATGATAACAAGGCACCAATTATCCAGCCAAAAATGTACATTGCCATTACCAAGGTCTCAAAGAAAGAAATGTTCATCCTATTGTCTAATTTTCAACAAGTTAACCCAAAGCTTAGAGTTTCCCAACTTTTTAATCACTATGTTAGGATGAGAGTCTACAGTATTTACCATGCATGAACTTAGCCCACAGAGATTGTTGTTGCCTGAATTTGATTCAGAGTTTGTACATGTTGACCTGTTGTAAGTGTTGGAGCCCTTTAAACCCAAGACCCCCATCCAATCTGGGGTTAGCCAGTTTTTGCCTATTGGCCCAGTGTAGTTACTATCTCTGACCAGACCACATGAACCTGTTGAAGCTCCTCTCCAATTGTAGTTGGGTGCTTTTCTTCATTC